AGTTATAGTTAAATACCCTGATGGAGGTGTGAGGAGCTGCTTGAACCTTAAGACTTAAATCATACGTTGTATGACACTGGAAGACTTTCTTAGTTATAGCTTTTGGTGTGAAAAAAATGAGACAAGCTGTAATCCCAGAGTCAGCATCCCTAGTAACGTTGCTGTTAAATTATTTCAAAATGTATGAGACAGTTGCATAAAGCAGTAATTATAAAAATATATCGTTGAGCTCATAACACATGACAATGCACCCTGTTTGACAATAACAGCACCAAAGAGAGGCAAGGGAAGGGAGTTATACTGGAGTAAAAAAATAATACCACTAAATGGATGTATATTGAGGCCATCCTCTTAAGTGAAATAAATAGGACACACGTGTAAATACTGAATAGTTTCTCTAGTGTGAGAAACTGAAAGTGTAATTAAGGGTGCACACAGATGAAATGGCCTAATAACATATTTCTCAGATTGTGTTTCCATCACGTGTCATATGACTGTATCGAAATTTAAATTAGGGAGAAGTTTGGCTTATGTGGAGTCTACTAACTAACTGGAGTTTCTTTCCAGGTCATTATTTGTTCAATGTTGGTTTTGGGGACCTTTCTGAAACAAATCACATCCTCTGGTGTCTTGTGGGTGCTTGAGATACTTTTTTAAATTAGATGGAAAAATGTTTAAGTGCTTTTCAGTCTTGTTTTGGTTGAGTTCTACTGTATTTGAATATTATTGTAATTTTTCCCCCTTGTATTGATTGTTCTTCTTTGAATGGTTTTAATTTTTTGTATGACTTTGATAATAAAGTTATTTAAAAAAAATAATAATACCAGATGGCAATCAAATCCACTTGTAGAAATGAAGAATACTAGAAACAGTAAATATATAGTAGAGGAATAGAAAAGATTCTATAAATATATATTCTCTTTTTTTTTTTTTTTTGGTACTGGGGATCAAACTTGGGACCTTGTACTTGCGAGGCAAGCGGTGGAACCACTGAGCTAAATCCCCGGCCCCTTTATTCTCTAAATAATAATTAACTGACATTATAAGACAATAATTATGATACTATTATTGGGTTTATAAATACATAGAATATAATATGTATGAGGATAATACCACAGAAGGGGGGAGTGGATCCATAATGGAGCAAAGTTTGTTTTACTGGAATTAAATTAGAATTATTCTGAAGTATACTGTGATAAAACATACATATTCTAATCCCTGGAATAACCACTTAGAATTAGAATATATGGTTTAAAAATCAAAAATGTACTCTTGGGCATTTTTCAGATAGGAATACATTTACACAGAAACCTGTACCTGAATGTTCATAGCAGTTTTATTAAATGTAATAGCCAAAACTTGGAAACAACCCAGATGTCTCCCAAGAAATGAATGGTTAAACAAACTGGTATGTTCATGCCATGGAATACTACTCAGCAATAAAAGTAACTATTAATACACACAACAGCTTGGGTGAATGGGCAGAAAATTATGCTGAGTAAAAAAGCTAACTCAAGAAAGTTACATACTTTATGAATTTTACATTATATATCATTTTTGAAATGACAGAATTTTAGAAACGGAAGATAGTTTGATTGTTGCCAGAAGTGAGGAGCCAAGGGTGAAAGTGAAAGTACAGTTGAAGGGCAGACATGTATTTGGTTATGAAAAAGTGACACTAGAGGGCTGGGGATTTAGCTCAGAGGTTCGGCCACCCTGCCTCAGAAGCGCAAAGGTCCTGAGTTCAATCACCGGTACCAAAAAAAAAAAAAAGTGACACTAGGGATCCTCATAGTGTTAGAACTGTTCAGTATCCTAACTATTATGATAGATACATAGGAGAGATTAGTACATGTAAAAGAGAAATCGAAATAAGATTGGTAAGTTCTATCAAACAAAATAGCTGTTTGCAGTATGATGTTAGGGTTATATATAAATAATATATAGTTGTGATATTGTATGGTAAATTGTTACTATCACAGGAAACTGGGCAAAGTACATTTATTTATTTAGCTGTGCTGGGAATTGGACCCAGGGCCTTATACACTCTAGGCAAACAATCTGCCACTGAGCTACACTGACAACCCTTTTTATTTTATATTGAGACAGGATCTTGCTAAGTTGCCCCAGCTGGACTTGAACTTGATATCCTCCTACCTTGGCCTCCCAAGTAACTGGGATTATAGGTGTGCACCACCACACCTAGCCTCTCTGTGTTATACAGAGTCCACCAAAAAAGTATGTACACACCTCAGGCAAAGAAAAACTTGTATAAATTTTTTTTGGTACTGGGGATCAAACTCAGGTTCTTGCAGTTTTGAGGCAGGCAGCGGAACCACTGAGCTGAATTAAGTATAAATATTTTAATGCTAAATTTTTTGAGACATCATGAAATTGATACAAGTCAAGTTTGGCCTCTACAATTATAAAAGGTGCTCAGAGTGGTGACCATTAGCTTCCAGGCGTTTATTAGTATGGTGAGCTGCTGTTTGGGTAAACCTTGGTCCATTGAGATTGCTGCACATGCATTTTTCAGTTTCTTTTCTAAGAGCCAGGAGTGTAGTGGGTTTTTTGCAATATACAACATTCTCTAGGGTCTCCTGTACGAGGGTGACATCTGTTGAAGAAACATCATGCTACTTTTCCTTTCTTGAAGTGTGTATACATTTTTTTGGCAGACACTGTAGATCTTCTTGTGAATCTAGTTATCTTTTGGGAGGGGGGTATCTTAAAACGCCAAAAAAATTTCCTACATGTATTAGACTCTTTGATTTCTACTATGTCATTTTATCCTACCAGGAAATCTTTCAAGTCAATAGAATTGGTATTTCCCTTTGAAATTGAGAAAATTGAGGTACAGTTTGGACAAGTACTGACAAGTACCTTAGTGACATCCTGGAAACAAGTATCCAGATTTGCTGACTAAACCTGTCCCGTTTTCCACCTGCCTGTTTGCCTGTTTCCTCTGTTAGCCCACCTAGCATAGATGTTTAATCTCTTTATAGGCTGAGAACTATTTTAGCAAGCCCAGTTTGTCTGGACTAGACATTTCTTAGGGATTGAAGAACAGTCCTCTAAGTCTTGACTTTGGCAAGGGTCATCACGTGAGGCCCTCTCAGCAAAGTGAAGGTTAACAGCTAAGCTTTGGACAGCTGAGATGTCTGTGTACTCTACAGTGTATGTGGTATGTGTATTTGGTAAAGTACTCTTTATCTCCAGCCTTCTTCCCTTCTCAAGATCTGAGAGTGGGTAAAAGGAAATTATATAGTTGACTAAAGCACTTGGTTTAACCGAGGCAAGATGGCCAAAGTTCAAAAATAAAAATTACCCATTATTTATGTTTGACAGCTCTCAGGGAATAGATTCCATCCAGTGAGGTTGTTCTTTGCAACTGTTAACTTCCTGGCATAAGTTATTAGAGGTAGAAATTCAAGTACTAAGACTAAGGTTCCACATACAGTGAGCATCTAATTATGTCAGTAGTGTAAGTATACTCTTCTGGCCACCAACAAGGACACTAAAGATCTGTGGACACATTCCTCGGTAACCATGGATAAATAAAAGTAAAAATTTTATTTGCTTGATAAGGTTTTGTTTTGTTCTGATTTTGGTAGGAGTCATAGTTATGATTCAGTTATCAGTCTTCGGTCTTAAGAAGCAGGTCTGCAGTGGTTTCGCTGCCTGCTGCGCAAGCGGAAGGATCTGAGTTCGATCCCCGGCACCAAAAAAAAGAAGCAGGTCTGGCAGGAGCTCCTCATTTTGTAAAAACTCAAAATGACAAGGAAAGTAGTGAAAAGATGTGATGAGTCACTTTATCACTATAGCTCATCACCTAAGGAGCAGACAGCTTCCATTTGTGGAATTTTATCTGTGTAGTAACCAGTAAGTACTACCAAGCAAATCAACATAAATATTCCTCTTTTCAGTGTTTAAACATTTGCTGTTTTCTGGTTATAAAAGTAACATGAGAAAGGCAGCAGAGCATATAGGCTGAGAGCACTGGTTTTGGAGTTGGACAGCCCCCAGCTCCCATACACAGGTGACTGGCTGCGGCATGTGACCAGAACTCTTGTCAGCTTTAGTTTCCTTATCTGTAACATGGGAAGAAATTATAGTACCTACCATAGAAATTGGATGTGAGAATTAAGTAAAATAATGCCAGTAAAATTTTTAGAATAGGGCCTGACAATAAAAGGAATTTGAAAAAAGTAAGAAGAAAATAAAGATGACTCCTAAGCCACAACCCATTGTTAGCATCTTGATATGTTGGCTTTCAGGATTTTTTCTGTCATCGCACACACAAAATTGGTTTTATATTTTCAATTATATCCTGTTTCATTTTTCCCAGGTGTATTTTTGTTTCTGACATTAAATTTTACTAAAAACATAAGTTTTCATGACCTCATAATATTGTAATACATAACTCTACTTAATTATCTCTTTGTTAAACATCCAAGTTATTTTTAATATTTTTACCATTATAAATATTGCTACTTTAAAGATTGAAGAGATTGAAAAATCTTTAAAAACTTTTGTTTCTTCTTGAACCTTGAGATTAAACGTTTGCGTGTATATTGATTATTGCCATTATTTCAGTGAAATGCCTTTTAATGAAGGGATGCAATTTGAAAAGCTTTTTATGTAGGACCTCTGGTCTCTAGAATAATGCCAGGTACATAATAAGCACTAAATAACTATGATGGACAAATGAATGCATGAGTGGCAAGAATATTAACACTTTGTCTATCATTATGTGTTTCAAATGAAGTCAAGCATTAGAAAACATCTGCCTTTGCCTTTGCCTTTTTCATTGTGGCACACACCTGTAATCCCAGCACTCAAGAGGCTGAGGCAGGAGGATCACAAGTTTGAAGCCAGCCTGAGCTACATAACGAGACCTTGTTTCAAAAATACTAAAAGAGAAAAAATAAATGTATAATGCTGTTTTGCTTCTTAATCTTTATGCCTAATTTTTTTTCCATTCTTTGCTTCCCCCATAGTTCATCCATGAGCTCGGATTTCCCACACTACAACTTCAGGATGCCTAATATTGGATTCCAGAATCTGCCTCTCAACATATATATTGTGGTTTTTGGCACTGCTATATTTGTCTTCATTCTTAGTTTACTCTTCTGTTGCTACCTGATTAGGTAATCAGTTTTCATCTTGTGTTACTTCAAAATATGTTAAACAATCAAATTTTGCCCTCATTTAAAAACAATTTATAAGTGTGATAATGGGCAAATTTTCTAAAAGTTAATGGGGTTTAATATTTTAATCTCCTGTAATCAGTAGTACACCTTTATACAGTCTTGAGTCCTATCTGTTGACGAGGTGTTTCACTCTGTAGGAAAAAAATTGTCCTCGTTAATTTTTCCACCACATTAGCACCTGGTCCAGATGCACTCATGCCATTGTCTATCCCCAAGATTTGATCTATTTTCACAGGGATTTCAAAATTGCTTCTTGAGAAGGTGTTGCATTAAAGTCACTAGGGATTAAAAAACAATATCCCTATGCCTTTAAAAAGCTTCTTGGGGTCTCTTAGGATTTTAAACTTCTATTTGTTGTCAAACTAGTTAGGTATTCAAGTGATTGATTATCTGCATAAAATACTAAATATTCTACATGACCAACAGTACATGTGGGGACAAGTAATAACAGGTAACACCTTGCTGGAAGGGAAATAAATTTGGCCAGAAAAGATTCATGGTTGATTGAGTTATAGTTATTTAAACATTTTTACTTTTTTGGTTTTTATTTTTTTTTTTATTTTTTTTTTTTTGGTACTGGGGATCGAACTCAGGTCCTTGCCGCTTGCGCAGCAGGCAGCGAAACCACTGAGCTAAATCCCTGGACTCTTTTTTGGTTTTTAAATGGGACCTAATTTTCAAAGCCAAAAGTGAGACTATAAAATATTTTATATGGTATTCTTCAAAGAGCGTTTTGGAGTAAAAGAATAGAAAATTGAATTTATTAAAGAACTTTACATCTAATAGTTTTTAGTATTTGTACAAAATGTGATTATCATTAAAATAAATAACGTCATCTGATGTCTTTCAGCAATCATTTGTTATTGCTACTAGTATTTTGGGGTGTTCACACTGACTACTGGTCAATTTTTTATTTTGGTACTGGGAATTGAACTCAGTTGCATTTGCCAGGCAGACACTGTATTACTGAGCTACATTTCCATCCCTGATGGTTAAATTTAAATGAAGGTAATGTATGGTTTTTGATATTCTAACATTTCCATTCTTCATAGAAAGTGAGTCCTAAAAAAAAAAAGAAAAAGAAAGTGAGTCTTTTCAGAAAGTTCTCACAAAATGTAATTGCATGTCATATTTCATAGATACATTGGCTGCTTATAGTTTTTAGATTTTGGTCAGATGGTTGAATATATAGGTCTAAAACTTATGAAAAGTGAAGTCTATAAATAGAGAGATTATGTAACAGTGAAATAAGATGGGTCCAGGACAGAGTCCTAGGAAAATACTGGTATTTAAGAGAATCCCGTAAAAGATTCCAGGAAGTGCTAGGTGTGGTGGCACAAGCCTGTAATCCCAGCACTTGAGAGGCTGAGGCAGGAAGATTGCCAAGAGTTTGAGGCCAGCCTGGGCTACAGTGAGACCCTATCTCAAAAAATAAAGAAATAAATGAATAAAAATAAAAAGATTCTAGGAAGAGATAGCAGGAAATAAAAGGAAAATCATGATACAGGTACCCTACAAGTACTATTTCAGTAGTGTCAGTTGTATCAGCTGCTCCCAAGAAAGTTCAGTAAGGTAAATTTGAAAAGTTCCCATTACATTTGACAATTAAATTTATATCCATAATCTTTGTTAGAAAAGGTTGAGTACCATGGGATAGGAGAATAAAAGGTAGGCAAGCTATTGTGGGACAAAGCCTGACTAGCAGATGAAAACAGATAAAAGAAAGTTTAACCTCCTTGAACAACTGGCTGAGGAAAGATAAGGTTGAGAGAAAGGCAACTGCTGTAAAATCAAGGAAGTATTTTGATGTTTCTTTTTTATTTTTTTGTATCGGGGATCGAACTTGGGACCTTGCACTTGCGAGGCAGGTGCTGGAACCACTGAACTAAATCCCCAGCCCTCTTTTTTTTTAAGGTAGACTTTTGTACAAATTTTTAAACATAATAGAGAGAATGAGCCAGTTATGGAGGGTCTGTGAGAAAGAATAAATTATGGAGATGAAAAGAGACTTGCCTAAGAGATACAGCAGTATCAGTGCTAAGCAAGAGAATACCTTCTCCTAAGAAAGAGATGAAAATAATTAAAATGAATAATTGATAATTTGAAATAAGAAAAGGTCCAAGGGTTTGGGAATGGTGGAAGGGAAAGGGGAAAGGGAGGAAGGGAAAGAAAAAATTATGAGAAAAAAAAATGGAATCAATCTCTGTGTAAATAGGGAAGGGTGGAGAGGATGAAGGGTGCACAAGTAATGGGAGAAAAAATAAAAACTAAGATACATCATGTTCTGGTAAAACACCCAATGATAAATGTAAATGTATTTTATACCTAAAATGTACCAATACATATATATATTAAAAAAATAAAATAATAAAAAAATAAAATGCAAAAAATAAAAAAGAAAGAGATGAAGATAATTGTGAGTCTGTGGGACTGGGAGTGAGGGAGCTTGTTTGTCTGACAACCCTCATTCTTTCTCTGTGGAATAGAAAATTGACAGTTGAGTGATAGGGAGAATGTGGTAGGGGAAAACTTGAAAGAGAATGGCAAGAGGGCTGGGGATTTAGCTCAGTGGTTTCACCGCCTGCTGCACAAGTGCAAGGACCCGAGTTCAATCCCCACTACCAAAAGCAAAAGAGAATGGCAAGGGTTTGAAACAACCACTCCGCGGAAACGGATCCTGAGCATGAATAGACAGAAGGATTAGAGAGCAACAAGAAGAGTCAGGCTGAGCATGGAGACCACAATTTTGTAGTCACCAAAAGCTAGGTGATATTATCATTTTCTTTTTTTGTTTGGTTTTTAGTTTTTGGTTTTTGGTACCAGGGATCAAACTCAGGTCCTTGTGCTTGCAAGGCAGGTGGCAGAACCACTGAGCTAAATCCCCGGCCCCGTTATTATCATTTTCTTCAGCACTGTTCAACATTGTTAATCCGTTCTCTTAGATACTTTTTAAAACATTTATTTAGCAATGCAAAATAAAGTAGTGCAATCTGAACTCTTAGTAATTTGTATGAACTTAAAAGAATAATAGCAAGGTGACATTTAAGAGAGAATTTCCTAAAAGGGATGAATTTTTAGCCACAGATTGAAAAAAAAAACATTGAGCACAATTGATTCCTTCTGTGGCTGGAAGTAACAAGTTCTACTTTGGGGAAATATGCAAATCCAGTTAAAAGATTCAAATAAGCAAAAGGAATTTACAAATGAAGCTTCATTTTATGAATTTTAATGGAGTTCATTTTATTGCTTTATATGAAAAATGTATTGTGTTCTCCTTTTAGTAAAATAAGCAGACAAAAACCAGAAAGCACATAGAGTATATGAACTACATGATCAATAAGTTTGACCTAATAAAGAAAAACTTAATTTTAAACTCATGTACCAAACCTGAAATACTGAAAACCAGTGATCTAAGTTTTTCTTTCATGGAGCTAAACACACACACCCGTGTGAGAGAGAAGTAGAGGAAGGAAATAAAGATAGTCACAGAAATAAAGTAAATAGAAAATAAATATATAATAGAGAAAATCATTGAAACCAAAACCTAGATGTTTGGTAAAATTGATCAATCTTTAGGAAAACTAACCAGGAAAAAGAGTAGGGAAATGATAGATCACTAATATCACAAATTCTGCAAACATTAGAGGATCACAAAGATTTTTATGTATCTATGCCAACACATTGGAAATTTTAGATGAATTACATAGATTCTTGGAAAAAAATACAGAACATCAAAACTGACATCACAAAGGCACTTAGGAAAAAGCCACAGCTAATAGCATACTCAATAGTGAAACAGTAAGATGGGAACACAACCAGTTTATCTGCTTCACTACTGTTATTTAACATTATACTAGAAGTTTCTAGCCAGAGAAATTAAGCAAGAAAAAGAAATAGAGGCATACACATAGAAAGAAGTAAAACTATATTTATTTGCAGATGACATGATTCTATATGTAGAAAATCTTGGGTAGGGAGGAGGGGGATTTTTTTAAAAGCCCATAGAAGACTCAGTGTAGAATTCAAGCTCAGTATGTGCAAGGCCCTGGGTTCAATCTCTAGCACCAGAAAAAAACAAATAAATGAAAATCCTACAGAATTCTCAAAAAAAAAAACCTACCAGAGCTAATTAATTCAGCAAACTCAATACAAGATTAGCGCACAAAAACTAGTTGTGTTTCTGTATACCAACAATGAACAATCTGGAAAAGGCATAAAGAAACAAGTCCATTTACAGTAACATCCAAAACAATAAAATTCCTAAGAATAAAGCTAATGATAGGGCCGAGGATTTAGCTCAGTGGTTCTGCCGCCTGCCTCGCAAGTGTAAGGACCCGAGTTCGATCCCCAATACAAAAAAAAAAAGCCAATGGTAGAGGTGAGACGCTTATACACAGAAAACAATAAAACATTGCTAAAAGAAATTAAAGACTAAATACAGTAAATGGAAAGACATCCCATGTTCCTAGATTGAAAGACAATATTGTTAAGATGGTAATTATCCTCAAGGCAATCTACAGGTTAATGAAATTCCTATCAAATTCCAGTTTTTTTCAAAAGTGGAAAAACCAACTCAAATTCATTTGGTACTTTAAAGACCCCCAAATAATCAAAATAATATTAAAAAAGAAAAAACAAAATAGGATTCACACTTCCTGATTTCAAAGCTATACTACAAAGCTACACCAATCAAAGCATTGTGGTACTGACATAATGATAGAACTATAAGCCAACGGATCAGAATTGAGAGTCCAGAAATAAACCCAAACATTTATGATGATTGATACTCAGGAAGATACCAAAATTATTCAGTAGGAAAATAATTGTTTCGACCAGTGGTACCAGAACAGCCCGATATTCACATGCAAAATAATAAAGTTGGGCCTCTCCTTCACATAATAATACAAAACAATTCAGAATAGATCAATGTCCTAAAC